GTGCCCCTCTTACCCCTTCAGCCCATGCCGTGCCCCTCTTACCCCTTCAGCCCATGCCGTGCCCCTCTTACCCCTTCAGCCCATGCCGTGCCCCTCTTACCCCTTCAGCCCATGCCGTGCCCCTCTTACCCCTTCAGCCCATGCCGTGCCCCTCTTACCCCTTCAGCCCATGCCGTGCCCCTCTTACCCCTTCAGCCCATGCCGTGCCCCTCTTACCCCTTCAGCCCATGCCGCGCCCCTCTTACCCCTTCAGCCCATGCCGCGCCCCTCATACCCCTTCAGCCCATGCCAGCCTGTGCTCGCGCCCCTCATACCCCTTCTTTGCAACACTCGTCCAGACAATGCGTCTCTAATTATGACAGATGAACATTCAATGGCAGAAATGTTTCCGTATAAATCGCAATCTATTAAATTGTTACTCTACAACGTATGTAACTGACCTTCCGTAAACGCAGGGCGACCTCTAAGAGAACCAATCACATGGAGTAATACGATACCACGTGAGTTACATGAGTCTGACCATCCTACCTCCGAGTGCTGCCAGTCTCCAGAACCTGTCCAGTGTCCCTACCTCCGAGTGCTGCCAGTCTCCAGAACCTGTCCAGTGTCCCTACCTCCGAGTGCTGCCAGTCTCCAGAACCTGTCCAGTGTCCCTACCTCCGAGTGCTGCCAGTCTCCAGAACCTGTCCATGATCCAATCCTGTGCCGTGTAACCCATATTGGGTGTGAAATAAATGGTGTACATACGTGTGACGTGTTTCTCTGATTTCTGTCATTTATTTTCATGAAATGTTCTCTGGCAGCACTCCGAGGGTTAACCCTCCTCCAGTGCTCTATGGTCCCGTAAACCATCACATTCTATGCACAGTGTATAGGAGGTGAGGACCCTGAGGAACATTCCAGTGCTGAGGAGGAGGAGGAGATAGGCTGGAGCTTCAGGTGAGTATAACTTTGTTATTTTAGTACCTAGATGAAAATGTGCATTTAAGCCTTGCAGCGCCGGGGTAGCCCCACTGTAAGGTTTTTTTTTTTTTTTGAAAAATCTTTTTATTCATTTTGCA